TTCTCATGTATGGTAAGCATACCCTGAAGCTGCTGGATTCCATTCAGAAAAAACCATCCGTCTGATTGGAGACACGAACATCACTGGCAACCTTTATAGTCTGGAACATCGAAGAAAGGTTGTAAATCTGTCTCTCTTTTATAGAGGTGTAAGGAATCGTGCAAACAGCTGAATGGCCACAGGGTGATATGCGGTTAAGAACGATCCCTTTGGGAAAACGGGCGAAACCTCATTGTAATCAGCCTTCCAATGGTAATGCGGAGCTCTGCCAGAGTGACCAACTCTTCACCTGCTACTCGTGGGAACACACGGCAAGGCGTAAGCGCATTTGCGGCGCCGAGGCCAAAAGGAGAAGAGAGCGATAGAGGCAGGAGTAGCAGCAACTGTAAGTGCATCCTCCTCCTCCCCCACTCCACCTCCAACAGCAAGGGCACTTCCTGTGGCGGGCGCCAAGAGCTGCGCCTTGAATAAAGGCAAGGAACCGGCTGCCCCTGAGGGAGAGCGTCTTTACTTGAACACCTCCACGGAGGGAATCCCAAGAAGGTTAAAGAAGTCGCGCAACGACAGTAATGTCGCTGCACTTTCCAAAACCTTCACGAAGGCCGCCGTCAGACTCCTCAAGGTTGCCAAAGAGACTGTGCGTTCGGCGAGTCTTGACCTTCACCTGCCGATATAAAGGAGATGTCTCCTAGTTACCTGTCCACCTTCCTGAAAAGGAAAGAATGGACGATGACCTAGGAGGACAACTCCTCGGGAGGATGTACAATGGGTCACTTATGGCCTAAGTGCTGTGGGTCTACACTCACCCTCTCTACTCTACAGATACAGAGATAGATACTCCCATGAGAGTGACGTGTCACATTCGATTCCACCAAGAGCGGTACATATCAGAAATACGCGACGGACTGTGGCTGCTCATCTCAGGGTGATATGCGGTTAAGAACGATCCCTTTGGGAAAACGGGCGAAACCTCATTGTAATCAGCCTTCCAATGGTAATGCGGAGCTCTGCCAGAGTGACCAACTCTTCACCTGCTCCTCCGTGGGAACACACGGCAAGGCGTAAGCGCATTTGCGGCGCCGAGGCCAAAAGGAGAAGAGAGCGATAGAGGCAGGAGTAGCAGCAACTGTAAGTGCATCCTCCTCCTCCCCCACTCCACCTCCAACAGCAAGGGCACTTCCTGTGGCGGGCGCCAAGAGCTGCGCCTTGAATAAAGGCAAGGAACCGGCTGCCCCTGAGGGAGAGCGTCTTTACTTGAACACCTCCACGGAGGGAATCCCAAGAAGGTTAAAGAAGTCGCGCAACGACAGTAATGTCGCTGCACTTTCCAAAACCTTCACGAAGGCCGCCGTCAGACTCCTCAAGGTTGCCAAAGAGACTGTGCGTTCGGCGAGTCTTGACCTTCACCTGCCGATATAAAGGAGATGTCTCCTAGTTACCTGTCCACCTTCCTGAAAAGGAAAGAATGGACGATGACCTAGGAGGACAACTCCTCGGGAGGATGTACAATGGGTCACTTATGGCCTAAGTGCTGTGGGTCTACACTCACCCTCTCTACTCTACAGATACAGAGATAGATACTCCCATGAGAGTGACTTGTCACATTTGATTCCACCAAGAGCGGTACATATCAGAAATACGCGACGGACTGTGGCTGCTCATCGTTTTGAGGTTCAACTCAGTACGAACTTCAACTTCGAACTTCACTGTTCAAGAAATATTCCATTTGGAAAACTGCGTTTATGTGGAATAAACTCCCTGAGAACGTTTTTCCAAATGAATTCAATCTCCAGCGATTCAAATCTAATGTGAATCACGACTTTCGCAAAGGCACCGCTCTTAGAGCGCCTTTAAAATTTTCCTGTAGTTCTTGTTGTTTTCTTCTCAAAAAGTAGCTTCCTCAGGCGTCTCGATTGAGATAATGGGGTGATCAATTATGATTGTAAGAATAAGTACCTGAAAAACTATCACTGAAAAATAATATGCCGACGCCTATGTCGAGGCGAGAATTCCTTCTCTGTGCTGTTCCAGTTGGTATTGGAAATACTATACAGCTTGTCAAATGTAGGAAGAGGTTTCTGAATTTGGTTATGGTCCCGCCCACCTGATGTGCGTTCGTGAGAGCGAGAGAGACAGAAAGAAAGAGGAAGAATTCTCAAACCTCTTCCTATATTTGACAAGCTGTGATGTCCGACGGAAAGTTCGGTTTCGGTCGAGTTTCGGCAAAAAAAACGGGTTTCGGTTTCGGCGGCAAACCTGCCGAAACTACGACCGAAACCGAAACTGCATTCGAGAGTTCACGCGATCTGATCGGTCATGTTCGGCGCGTTGAATTTCATACAAGCGACGAAGACATTTTGCTGCGTCCACGTGCCTGATCACGTCGTGACTTACTTTGTTTATTACATAAATATTAAGTACCTATTGTGATATTAGGTAACAACAAAAATAAGTAATTTTATGTTGAATATTTTTGAAAAACCATTCATAATATTCAAAAGAAGAATCTACGCATACTCAAATAAACACCTCACTTATTTTAAGTATTTTTGTTTTCTGAAATAAGGGGTTATGTTGATTTGTTGATTATCAATAAGTAAAAATGTCGAAGATTGCATTACGTTGTGATTTGAGGATCAAAAATTAAAGACTGACTGATTATAATAATGTTTTCTTTATTTTTCCCTCAAAACATAACCGTTTTAAGTAAGTTTCGGTTTCGGCCAAAACTGAGACCGTTGCCGAAATTCGGTTTCAGTTTCGGACGTAAAAACCAGTTTTGGTCGGACACTACTAGATTGTGAAAAAATACTTTCCAAATACCAGAATTGGGACAGTTCTGTCGCTCTATATTTCGACAAATGAGCTGACATCGTCAGCTGCCATATATCTTTGTACTAACAATCAATGTTGTCTGATTATCATAGAAAGAAAATCACAAATCACTGTGAATAAAAAAAAAATTCCTTACATCAAATTAATTTCCTCATTAAAACTGCTGATATAATTCATGATTGATTGAAAAGTCACTGACATAACTCGCTAAGCGTTCTGAGCATAGTAACGCAAATTATTCTCAACGGCGAGATCAAACCCATGATTATCCTATGATTAACCTATATAGACGAATCCATTACATAACACGTTCTCCATCAAAAGAAATTTGCATACAATTCGAATTCTATTCCGATTAAAGAGCGTGAAAAGATTTTTTCCCAGCTTTACCGTTGCTTTTCAATTATGAAGTAACCGTATATTTAAACGAAAAAAATATTGGCGATAATCTCCTCCGGACAAAGGAAATATTCGATATTGGATGTCATGTTTCTATGAACAGTTACATGGAAAAAATGATGGTATCAAATAGTGGGTAAGCACAAATGATTCGTCGGGTCGTTAGTCTCTGATCCCGTGAATCGAAAAGAGTTCAATATACTGGCGGTAATAACGGAATTTTGCGTTTGATGTTGCAAAAAAAACGCGGTTTGTGAACCCAGTTAGTCATAGCTATCGTTTTTTTGTGAGAGTCAATGAAATGATTAATTTTGAAAACTATTTCATTATCGTAGGTAGTAACAAAGAGCAACAGTTTACGTAAGCTTTTTTAAAATAGTATTCGTGTCATTGATTAGCAGATTATATTTATACGTCTTGAATCCAGTGAATGAAGATAATTCACTGTGGAGAAAAACTCTTCGAGAATGTTCCATCTTCAACAAATTTTGAAAGGAAGAACATTTATTTCATCACTGAACTATAAAGATTTTTTTACTGTCATTGATAGTGTCGTTTGTTGAATTTTACTACTTCAGAATACATATTCTTTGAAAGACATTTTTTTATAAAGGACTCAACGTTACAATTTTTTTGGGTATATAACCTTCCACAATCTGTACTTAATTTGCCCACTATTACACTGCAGCAGAGTATCTATTGATATAGCTTTGTTCACTTTTCAAACTGTGGAAGAATATACAAAGGATATTCAAAAAAATAAGGAGAATGTTACAATTTTACTGGCTACGTACATTCTAAATGCATTCATTACACACATGACATTACTCGCGAATAAAATTCCAGATATAATAAATATGCCTCGATATAGAAAAAGACAAACCTCTAGGGGTCCAACAGATGACCAAATGAAAGCAGCTATGGTTCTCGTAAGTGATAATGGTTTAAGTGTCAGGGAAGCTGCTAGATCATTAAATATTTGCCATGTTACTCTGCATAGATATGCCAAAGAGATACAACACGAAGGTATTGCTCCAACGATGGGTTATCATCCACATAATAAGGAGTTTTTTTCCAACACCAAATCGTCATTTTCAACACCTCGACACGTGTTTCGATCACCAAGTGATCATCTTCAAAGAGGAAGAATAAAACTCAATCTCCCTCTTTGAAGATGATCACTTGGTGATCGAAACACTTGTCGAGGTATTAAAAATAACGATTTGGTGTTGGGAAAAAACTCCAGTAATATTTTAGAGATTGTTGACGTGGTACCTTTCTACTAGTAAAACGGAAAACTAAATGAGAATATTCCGCCATTTTGTAGTAGGTGAAGATATTGACTTCATATTCTAGGGTTGTGAAGTATTTGTCAGGAGCTTCAAAAAGATGTATCACAAGACACCCCATTCCATTTAATTTTTTTTTCCAGCCCAGTCGCCATCTTGAAAATAGGTATCATCTGCCAATTTCACTTCAAAATAAAGTATTCATGCATTAATTTCATTATCCCAAATTGAAATTTTTTGAGTTGACCCGTTCAAAAAATAAAAAGGGGGGGTAAATGCACTGTATAGAAATCGAAAAAACTAGCTCTCTCAATGTACATGAACGCTTTGAAGAACGTATTAAAAAATGCACAATGCAAAAACTGTTGAAAATCGATTCTTCATGTACCTACGATTGTCATAATATATCAAACAACAAGAAATAATCCGAACTATACAGTGTTTGATCAAAATTAACGTTTCAAACGAACAACTCACCTCTTGCTCTTCTATACATTGGGCGTCTAAGGGGAACAGTGGTTTCTGTGGGGCTGGCACGTTGGTCAGGTAATAGGCAGAAGCTGCTGCCACTCCCGTAAGGGCTAATGCCCCTGCACCTCCGCCAATATAGAGCAGATATTGTTCCATATCTTCCACTGGAACAAATGTCACAGTCAATCCCATGAGAGCCATTAGAGTTTATCGGATTATTCAGACAGGAGAGAAATCGAAATGAAACCGTTTCAGATTTGCAAACTACATATATACAAATTGTCATATCATGTATTCATCAAATCTAGGATTCGAATGGAACCAAGGGCGGTTCTAAGATCTTAACAAGGAGGGGCCACCAGTAAACTAGTGTTATTTGGGTAACAGGATCCATTTTTCTTGAAAAAAAAACAATTGTTTTCTTGCCAATGTTTCGAAAATATTTGAATTCTACTTCAGGGCTCGANCGTAAAAATGGGGTGTTCCATCGCGAGTGGCGGACAGTGTATATCACTTTGGCCAACCCCATTCAGATGGTAGGTGCATTTTGAGCATTTCCATCAGTCCTGAGAGTTTCATCGTTCTACCTCGAATATTACGGAAGATACGGGGGTGTTTCCATAAGAAGTGAGACAAATTCGGATTTTTCAGGATGAAATTTTATCAGGAAAAAAGTGTAATCGTAGTAAGTTGGTAGTCCTGATCACGAATCTGAAGGAATTTTGAACTTATTTTGCCCTCTAATATGTTTTACCGTAAAAATGGGATGTTCCGTCGCAAGTGGCGGACAGTGTATATCACTTTGGCCAACCCCATTCAGGTGGTAGGTGCATTTTGAGCATTTTCATCAGTCCAGAGAGTTTCATCGTTCTACCTCGAATATTACGGAAGATACGGGGGTGTTTCCATGAGAAGTGAGACACACTGTATATGTTGAGATTATTTCCAGAAAAAGAAAAGTGTGGTCAAATTTGACTATTTTGGCTTGCCCTTAAATTCTAAGATTCGTTTTTCTTTCCACACCATTATTATTTTGGAGTCTAATTTCCTTGATAAAAGTTTTGTTTCCCATGTCACTAAAACCTGTTCGCCAAGATTCTACAGAGTCTTTGTAAAATGGTGGCATATCAACTACTTTATATAGACACTTTGAAAAATGGTCGGTTTATTTCCAATATTTCCCAAGTAACATAGTAATTTCCATTGGAAACCTCTAGGTTTTGCAAAACAAAAGAAAAAGCTTCAATATTGAAATTACTTCATTTCACTTTTGTTCGATCTAGGCTGGAATTTGCATCTGTCGTGTGGAGTCCCTACTATCAGGAGGCGCTTCCTAAAATATATGTCTTTGAAACTTAAAGGCACGTATTCTACTGTAGGAATACCCCATTATGAATTGCTTGTAACTCACAATTTTTGTAGTCTCGAGGTAAGGCGTAAATATTATCATTTCTTTTTTTATTCAAGGCCATAAACAATATCATCACCTGCTCTCAACTGTATATTTGCTCCTGAACTTTGTTGAATTCACGCAAAGGATCCTTTTTCCTTTCAAATATTTGTTCTAACTCAAATATATCTTCTTTGCAATCATTAAAAAAATTAGAGAATTTTGTTAATGGGCTTCCAAAAGTTCTTCTCTTACTGAGAAGTATTTTGATATCACTCATTTTGATAATTTACCTTTTGTTCGATTTATTAACGACAAACAGTAAATTGAAAAATGAGATAGCTGAGTATGCAATCTACAGAAAAAAATAAATGATACCGTTGAAGGTGACAGGGTTCAGAAGATTGTGAATGACTCACCAGTTTACCGATTTCCTAGTGTTTTTTAAACTCAGATTTTCGCTTTACACATGGATGCACAACTCGTCCCCTTTTTCCGCAGTTTCTATCCGGCTCGAAGGACCAATATTGTCGTGTCTATGCACAAGAGTATTTTCTTTTGTCGGTTTTCACGTTTTTTTCAAAGAATTGAAAGACCTTTATTTCTGACTATAAGTGGACTGTATTAGCCAGTTGCAACAAATAATATTATAATCTAAGAAACTGAAAAGCACGCGATAAGACGCACATTTACCGCATTGAACTGAAAACCAAGAGGACACTACACTAACTGATATTCATTTCTTACAAACTGTTTCTGCTAAACAAGGGTAGGTAGGTATTGAAACGGGGAATTTATGGCCTGGGTAACATTAGTTCTGGGAATTATTCAAACCCTAAAATTCGCACAAGTTTTTGAAGTAAAATAAACGGATAATTGGTTTGAACAGGATTAAATAAGGTTTTGAGTTTCCAAATTTCTAGACAACAAAACGCATTTCTACAGTATGATACAATTTAATAACCGAACATAAACGTCACTAAAAATACGGCTGTTCATTATCGATAAATAGAAATAGTTCACCTCCATAAGTTTTTGAAATAACCAACGAAAACACAGAAAATATACGTCAGATTCGCGTGAAAATGTGTTTATATAATTCATTGAAAAGATCCTATCATCTTTTGAAAGCAGTTATTTATCCATAGATCTTAGAGAGAAAACTGTCATGAATGAGTTTTAAATTAGTGAAAGACGCATTAACTTATTGATGTGCTTGGAAAATGTTTTTCGTTCTCATATATAAATATTGTTGCAAACCTGCATCGTATATAAATATTGTTACGAACTGGAGATGTTACTTATGCGTGGGTTCTAAATAAATAAGTTGTACGCTTATTGAAATCAAGCAACTTTATTCAACACCACGAATTAGAACTGAACGCTATCTATACCACAATCAGATTTTGTAACTATCGCACTATTTATCTGTTTCGTTCTCTTCGCATTTTAATTCCTCGCTCTAATTCAGCTTGAGCTGTCTCGTAGATATACCTACTCCGTACAATAAACTGCTGATCACTGGAAGTCACAGCATTCCGGAAATAAGCTCTGACATTATGCCTCTAACTGTCAACTACGAACTGTCTTATACAGTACTGTTCCCGAGTAGAGAGGATTGGATCCTCCGGAAGAAGGAAATATCAAGAGCAGAAAGTTTTTAGTTCACAGATGGATCAAAATCACCTTCAGGTTCTGGTGCAGGTGTTTTCAGTCGGAGACCCAGGACAGAGATATGTGCTCTGCTGTTTCATCATTTTCCAAACAGAGACGACACACACTTTCTTCCGACAGTCCGAGTCT